GGAGTAGACGCCCTGATATCCCTATCCCCCCTCAAAAACCTCTTCTTCTTCTTCTTCGTCTCCTCCCTACTCACAACCCGCTCATTAACCGGCGCCCAATCATTCCTCGCCGTGATAAACGTCCCCGTCCCCATCTCCTGCCCTCCCCCACCACCATACTCGTGCGATTCATTCTCATCAAAAAACTCCAAATTACTCCCACTCCTGCTCAACAACCCCGGACTATTCAACCTGACACTCTGCCCCTCCCCTTTCTCATCCACAAAGTCTGGCGCGCTCAGGGCTTGTATAAACGCTTCTACATGCTCCGCCGGCAAGAAGTTTGTCTCCGCGTCGGGGAGGTTCGCCCAGTCGAACGCTTCCGGGGGGAAACCGTAGGTTTTGGAGGGGAGCACGATATCCGGTCGGACGGTCGGGGGGTGCGTAGTGCTGGTGAGTTTGAGGCGTGAGGAGGGGTGGTTGTCTTCAGAAGACGAACCCCCCGAGAAGGAGGAGTCGGGAATAGGGGTCGTCGTCATTTTGTTCTTGTCCGCCATGGTGAATGGCGCACTGGTTTCTCGTGTTGTTTCGTGTAGTATCGCAGCATAAAAAAAAGAACGACTAGGGTGTCAAACTTGGTAGGTAGGTAAAATTGAAAGGTTGTCGGTCGTCAAGCGGTCCTAGAAACCCCGAGAAGAGATAGCATATTCGCGCCGCTTCCCAGAGTTTTTTTCTTTTTTCTTTCCACCTCTTTGCCCTTCCTTCAGTCGTAAATTGATCTGCGCCGGAGTGTGATGCAGTAGGTAACAATCTAGTGGGTAAAAAGTGCTGATTCAAAAAAGGTGAATTGTCGCCGCCGCCGCTGCGCGCACCGCTGTCAGGAGGACAGTGGAATGACGTCGGTTTGCTTTAGGCAAAGTGGCACCTCCTGTGCAGCACTCTCCACCCCCAAACTTGGGGAAAACATATGCCAAGCTATCCTTGTCACCTCCCTACCACACCTCACACACGCTGTGATCTTAAGATCATAGACTTTATTCTTTTGCTTTTCAGCGTCCAGGCAAGGACTGTAAATTTCCGCTTCTCATCTCTTCCAGATATGCCCTTCTTGAGCTGGGGTAACACACCCCCGATGAACCGGGTTATGCAACCCTGAATCGTCAAGCTCCATCCACTGCGTCCCGTCCACCCTCCCTCTGACCATCATCCCAAGTGGACTCGGGGAATCATTCCACCTATGGGCTCATTTCCGAAGTGTTGGGGATAACTTCAGCCTCCTTTTATGTCCTGCCTAGACTTCTATGTCACCTCGGTATTACACTAGAACAAAGATCATCATTGCAAATCAAGAACGAAATTCTGGAGCTTGCTGCGAATCTGTAGATCTGCCTATCATGTGACGAGGCCTGTTGACCATCTTGTGATGCCTCCTAAATACGCGCCTGTGTACAATCTGATAATTTCCATCGAAATATCTAGCGAGGTCTGGTCTTCATCCCAGTACGCCTAGCAATCATCTTTCGAAGCCTGTCCCGCTCGGCATCATCAGCATGAGAGGCAGGTAGAAAAGTATCATTTCCAATATAAATCATATATCATAACGCCTCAAAACATTCTCGCCCATGCCTACACCACAAGTTCAACAGCCAACCACACCCGCAATCCCCCATCAAATACAAGCAAACGCAACTGGCCTTCTGTATTGATTCTTATCCCCATCCATTACTACCCTCTTATACCGCGCCCCTCATATCGCCCCGTCACCTCACTCCCCCCATATCCAAACCCCTCCCCCTAAACATATTGCGACAACCACCGAATAGCATCCCCATACCCCTGCCTCATCACAACCGAGCACATGAAAACCTCAATCGGGCGGATCCCCTCCAGCGGAATCTTGCCCTTGCCCGTCGTCTGGTAAATCCCCAAATGGTGACGAAGCTCATCCTCACTTACCGCATCCGGGTGATCAATCTTGTTACCCAACACCACAAACGGGACCTTGGCCAGCTCCTCCATCGAAAGAAGCCCATCAATCTCGGCCTTGGCCTCGGGGAACCGCTCGTGGTCCTTGGCGTCAACGAGGAAGACGATGCCGTTGACTTCGGGGAAGTAATCCTTCCAGAGGCGGCGAGCTGTTTTCCACAACACATTCCACGTCAGCACTCCCTATTCATTCAACCTTCTCCAAAACGGGCACACGTAAAGACTCACCCTGCTGATGACCACCCAAATCAAAAGTCGTAAACCTGACATTACCAATCGCGAGCTCCTCGGAAGCTAAAAACCACCATCGTCGTCAGTCCCCTTTACTCCCTCCCTCAATCAGAAACAAATACGCACTAGGATGCAACGTAGGCTGCAAAATAGCCACCCGGTCATTCTTCAACATGTGCAACAGCGTCGTCTTGCCCGCATTGTCCAAGCCCAAAAACAACAGCTTGGCATGCTTGTTCAACAAGCCAAGCGAAGAGAGCACATCGTAGACTGTTTGTTCATCCCCCAAACGTCAGCATCTCGCTCCCATCCCATCGAAACACCCCTTGCCCAAAAATACTTACACCAGTTAACAAGCCACATCTTGTTTCTCTCTCTCGCGTTCTATCCCTTCGTTTTACTTTTCGGTCGGGTAGGTAGGTAGCTAGCGTGTCGCGGTGATGGCAAAGCAAAGCTTTAGGTTGGTTGTTGTCCGGTCAGGAAATGGAATGGAATTGGACGATGGAAACCGATCGGGTTGCGTGCTGGTCTGTTCAGGGAGTGGCCAGAGCTGCGCTACAAGAATTACTTGGCCTTGCTTGCGCAGGGGCCACCTAGCCTACCTCACCACCGTCCCACCACCCGTGACCCCCAAGTGGCAGCACCCAGAATGACAGCTGGTTGATACCTGAAATATCAGGCAGATAGTCACCTGACCCCCTAAACCTTAAAAAGGGGACATCTCCCTTTCTACAAAGGTGTTGTTGGGAAATGCTGACGCTGATGGTGAGGCGCGCGTCTTCGATGTTGATTGCCTAGTCCAACGCGAAATAGAGGCGCAAACATCCGATTTAAATGATTCGTAACCATGAGCTTGATCGTGATCGTGTGCAGCCTCGGCACTCCAATAACGTCTTAACCCACACCAACCCCCTTTACTTGCATCATGTACACACATGGTTGGGCTGAGCACCCATTTGCTCAAGCATCGAACAATCACTCATCGCAAAACTCCAAAATGGTTCAAAATGTATATTCTTGATTCCCTGAAGAGACGGGAAGATGCATTGCAACTACAAAAAAAGTTGTGCCTTTATGTACATAGAGTTGTACCAGGTCGACCGTCACCGGCGTTGTTGAAAACTAGCCAGCCAGCCTGGACCCGGGCGAGATAATTACTAAGGAGGAATAGACCAAAAAAAAAAGGCAATGTGTGAAAACGCCGTGGTCGTGAGAAAGAAACAAGAAATTTGTACGCCAGGCTCATGAATAATCATGATGACCGCCCCAGATGAATGCCGTGGTGTATGAACCCCAGTGTATGCCCTTGCGATGCAAATCAGATAGCCTTCCGTTTAGATGGAAAGAACATAATGACCGGGATTCTTGCCCGCCATCGTGAGACCAAGCTCCCTCATACGCTCTGCTCCCTCGCCGGGGATCGTGCGTTTCGGGTGAGCCTTCTCCTTCGCCTTTTCCTTGCGCGCCCGGCTGCAATACTTTTGGTAGTACTTTTCCTTGCGACGCTGTCTCTTCTGTTCGAGACCCTTGACGATGTCAATGGCACCGCGGACATGGGTCGAGTCCTTCTCCTCGGCGGCAACCTTGGCCTTGCGGGCCTTCTGCTTCAGAAACATGCCCGGTGCCTTGGGAAGGGACTTGGTGTGGGGGAGGCCGAGACCAGGGCGGAATGCAAGTGCCTTGAAAGCAACGTGATCGCTGTCCTGACCAGGTGAGGACGAGGCAGAAGACCTGTACGCCATGGAAATCGGGGCTGGTGACTTGAACCTGCGAGGGGAAGCGCGCTCAGTGGGCTTCAGGGGAGAACGGCCGCGCATCTTAGGGGCGGGAGAAAGACGGCGCTTGGGAGGGGGCGAGCGGAATCGCTTGGGAGATGGGCCCTTGCCGCTCTTGCGTCCGCGACGGTCACGCTCGTGGTGCAGGTCCTCGAACTCGCCGTGAAGCCAGCCATGCTCGTCGCTCTCTCCATAACCCTTGCCATAGGGCTCTTCGGGTTCGTCTTCGATGTCCGAGGTGGGGAAACTGGGATCGATGTCCTGAGGAATGACTGGCACCTTGTCGCGCTTCCGCGCCTCCACGCAAGAGATGTAGGCATCCTCCAGCGGCCTGTCCTCATCCAAAGTACCGCAGACAAAATCGGTGCTGTCGGGAAGCTCAGGAGTGGCAGGGCGGAAGGGTACGGGGCGGGATCTGGAGCGCTTTGTCTTCTTGCGAACAAGGCTCGACTTGCCCTCACCGGCAGAGGAATCAGAACTCTCGCCGACAGACAGTCTCCGAACAGCCGACAAAACAGCCCCAGACAGAGTCTGATGGTGACCAACGCGGGTGGTCCAGAGAAGTAACCCATCATCTTCATCGTCGGACTCGGCAAAACCAATTTCGTTGTCGGTTTTGTAGCCGTCAGAAGCCTCGTCATCCCAGTTGTATCCAACATTGACGTCGTCTTCCTCTTCCTCTTCAACCTCTTCCTCGTCAGCCTCGTCGTCCAGATCATCGTCGTCGTCCCCATCATCGCCATTCGGAGACTCATCGTCATCCTCATCTTCCTCGCCATCTTCGTCCTCATCCACTTCTTCATCGAGCTCTTCCTCCTCAGCCTCCGCCTCCTCTTCAGCTTCCTTGCCGAGCTTCCGGATCTCCATCTCCTTTTGAAGCGTATCCTGGATGGTCAGCTTGGGCTTGTGGACATCATCATGCCTGATCCAGTCATCTTCTTGGGGAGTTTCACTGGCGAACTCGTGAAAGTGAGCATTCTCGCTGTCAAGGTCATTGGCATTAGCAGCAATCCACTTCTTGCTCTGAATGGCAATGGGGCTGTTGGAGGTTCTGCGGGGTGTCGAGGGCCGTGCCCGAACCGTCGAGGGAGTCCGTGGCTTCTGAACACGAACATCTCTGGGAACAGGAGTCATCGGGCGAGTCTGTGCGCCCGCCGTCTTGGGGGGCGCAGCGGGGCAGGCGAACTTGATGGTGGTTTTCTTCGGTGCCGCTTGCGACTTCGTCCCATTATCTGTGGGCTTGGGAGGTGGTGGCATCGAGACCTTGTCATCGGTCTTGGGCTTCGCCGCGCAGGCAAAAGAGATGCATCTCTTCTTGGCCAAGGCCTGTACCGCGGCGTCGCTATCCCGCTCAGCGCGCACAACCGGCACGGGCGTCTTGCCCATGAGGGGAACGAAGCCGATGCTGGAGAAGCGAGGGCTGGGTGAGCTGGTGCGCGCAGGCGTGGTAAGCCCGGTATCGCAGGTCAGCTCAGCAGTCGAGGCGATGCTGAAGTTGCTGGTGATGGAGCGTCTCCGCCTTCTAGCAAGAGACGTCGCATCGTGAGATTCCTCATCTGAATGGCTTTGGAAAGCCTTGGTCAGGAGGGATTCGTGCTGCTCGCTGCCTCGGCGGATGGCAGTTCGCTTGAAGTGATTTGATACGGGGGACATTGGCGGCGGACAATCCGGTGGCTCGTCCGTATCAGCCCCCGCATCTTCTTCCACTGATGGCTCCACATTGGCGGAGTTTGTCGTGGTCCATGCCAACACATTTGATGTCGCATAGTCGTGAGGTGTGTATCGGTGTTGTTCCATTTTCGAGAACGGGATGTGAGTATAAGTGGCCGTCGAGCTGGTGGCTCAACCGGCAGGGTAACAGAGTTGTCCTGGGAGCGGAAGAAGGGGCAGTAAGAGTCCAGCGGTCGAGATATGTGTGTGTGGGTGTGTGGATGTTGCTGGTTTGTTGATAGAGAAATGATATCGTGAGTGTCCGCTGTGGGCGGAGTCTGAAGTCTGCGACGAGAGCAGTCCTCTACCTTATGGCTTGCAAGTGGCGTACAAGGCGGTGTCCCTAGGGACCGTATTGCTATAACAGCAGAGCCATCACGTCGAAATCTGAGGTTGGTAGTTTGAAAGGCCGGTGGGTTGTTTGGGGGTGGTGGTGTTAGAGAAGCAGGTCGTTCGGCCGTCGACCCAAGAGTGAAATGCTGGAAGGTGAGGTAGTCTTCTGGAAGGCCTGGTCGAAAAGCAGGGTCGTCGGTGGTAAGTCGACGTGCAGATGACGTTGTCCTTTTGCTTTGGGAGAAGAGTGAGTTGCGAGAGGGTGAAAATGTCACACAAAACACGCAAAATGTCAAAAGCAGAGCGGGAATGCGGCAAAATATCAGGTTTTTGAGACCTGGCGGAGCGGTTCAAGGAGGGGATATGGTCGTGTCCAGCGATGGGGCCGTGCCGTCGCGAAATGCAGGGAACAAGAGAGAGGGAGGGGGGCGACGCAGGGTTGCCCTCAAAAGCGAGGAGCCGGGTCCACCACCTTGGCACTTGGCTGCGCTTGGCTGATGAGATGGCGACAACGAGAGAGAAGAGCGGGTCGAGAGTGGGATGTTGGCCGAGTCCCCCCTTTGGTTGGCTGTTAGTGCTGAGGTCACTCTGCCCGCAATGCCCGCCCACGGCAACAAACAAAAACGGATGGTGATGAAAAACGTAACACCAAGACAAAACGGGGCCGGCCAGGTCCCTTTTTTCTTCGCTTTTATTCACAGCATGACCAATATGAATAATGCGACCGAAAAGCTTTTACACTTTTAACTTTGGGCCATCGGAGGCGGACTGACTCTGCCGCCGCTTGTGACGCCGTCCGTCACTCTGGTTTGGTTGAGACGAAGGAAAAGGCGGCGTGGAAGCACACGTTTTCTTCCCACATTTCAACAAGGCACAGCGCAGCATAGCCTGTGCCCAGAGTTGTGCTTGTGCTTGTGCTGATCACCAGAGCCCCGGGCCGTGGCGCTGGGCAAAGGCCAACCGAAAAACGGCGGCAACTTCACAATTTCACAATAACGGCCGTTTCCATTTCTCGAAATGCTAGCTTTGCCCTGTGCGCCCGTTTCTTCCTCTTCCGTCGTTGGCTGCGGGCCCCACCCCATGGCGATCGATCTTTTGGACCAGGGTTTTTGCGTGGTGGTCGATGGTTCCTTTCAACCCACGCTGACTCCACCTGCTTCTCCAAAAATGTCCAGTGGCGGGAAAGACCCGGCTGGCGGAATTTCGACTTGGGAGGAGCATCGTACCAATGGCGCTTGACTCTGTTCAGACAGACAAAGGACCCTCGCTGTGGATTGCCTCCTGATGCGCATAGTGCCGTCCTTATCCCAAGATTAGCAGGTCAGGAGCATCCCCGAATGTCCGACATCGCCCGTCTCTAACTGAGAGAAGAAGACATGCTGTGTCACCGGACAACATTGCCCTTTTGATAGCAGACCTCTACTATCAGTCCGACTCTATACCGCCTTCACCACCACCGCCTTTCGGGTCTGACACCCTATCGTGTATCAAACAAAAAGACAGATGACAGATTGGGAGGTGCCGAGTGGCCCAGCCGGAATGATC